ACAAATTTCATTTCCGATTTGAATGTGGAAAAATACTAGCCTTGAATTAGCAGAGTCCTTTTAGTGGCTTCATTTTCCACAGCTTGTTTTCTATATGTATTTCTTTCATTTTGTTTTATTTCTATATAGGAGTATCCGCCCTACCAGCTCCCATTTTAAATATGTAGCATGCTTTTAGGCGTGCGAACGTGCTATTGTTCTGTTGAGGAATGGGAGAAAGTGGTGCCGTCGGCTTGACGACATAATACCACTCGGCTACAGCCTACAGACATCGCTCATCGCTTTGTTAATAACAAAATGTATACGCGTTTACACGCCTAAAACTATGCACAGATTTTTTACGAAAAGCCAACCATAAATGCCAGTTTGCGTGATTTCCATATTTAATATTCGTAAATATTTGCACACGTACAAATTTTCAATGAAAATTTGGCTTGCTACACTGCCATGTATTGCTACGTACATACATGTTTATTTTATGTAGGTGTGTATGTACATATGTGAATATTAATATGCCAGCATTTGGGCGTGCGCTTTTTACAAGCATTACACGTAACATTTCGCAACACCTTAAACATACAGCTACTTAAATTTATAGCTTTCGGGTAATTAAATCTTTCACCCATAGCAAACATCAATTTTTTGGCTTTTACATTTTAATTATGAAATTATTGAATTTTGCTTCTAACTTAGCCAATAGTATAATCGGATTATTTCGTGTAGTCATGCTACAAATGGAAATCACTTTACATCCATATACCATGTACAGTATTGGACATATCTATAGCACCCCCCTTTCAAAGCGATATTGTTTGCCACTTATGTTTAATTATTTGTTTTTAAGAATTTTCAATTAAAATACAGCTCATTTTCCAACAAAACCCATATAAACCAATGTTGTAAACTTTTTAAAAGACCGCAAAAAAGTGCAACAAACTTTCCCTTAAATTTCAAACTTTTTTCTCAGAAGCTCTAGAATTTTTTTGAGTACACAGTTTTATAGCGCATTCAATTTTGTCCAATAATGTGCCAGTTTCAAGTCGCTAAAGATTACCGTTTTTTTTTTAGAATTTTTTTTGTCTCATTTGCTTCCATATAACGACTAAACACAATTTATTTTTATATGGCAGAAACCCGCAACATCCTCGGCGAAAAAAATTCTAAAAAATCAAAAGTAATTTTTAGCCACTTGAAACTTGCACATTATTGGACTAAAATTGAATGGGCTATACAACTGTGTATTCAAAAAAATTCTACCGCTTCTGAGAAAAAAGTTTGAAATTTGGGTGAAAATTTGTTGCACTCTTTTGCGGTCTTTTAAAAAGTTTTAAACTTAAGTTTATGTGAGTTTTGTGAGAGAATGAACTGTATTTTAATTGAAAATTTTTAAAAATAAGTAAATAAACATGAGTGGCAAACAATATCACTTTGAAATGGGGGTGCTATTGTATTGGCCAATACTGTATGTATGTAAATATGTATGTATTTTAAACAGTGGGAATACATATGTAAGGCTCGGAATCTAATGCAAATGCATGTTTTTATTGGGCGTCTTCCAATGGAAATGGTTAAGTCATTTTTACGAATCATGAAATTTCTTTTAAAATGGCACTCAGTCAATAGTGCATATTTTGCAAAAAACAAACTTCTTGTTATCGCTTATTTATTATTCACAACGCTTATTATTCACAACGATTTAAATTTAGTGTGAAATCTCTTGACAAAAAAAAAAATCTAAAACTTTTCCCAAATATCTATCTGAATATGTTCTCGGATAGCCAATCAGCCATTAAGGCACTTCCTTGTACCTCTGTTAGATCTCGAGTAGTGGATGACTGTAGGAGAGAGCTGGCCTATATCTCTAATCAATACGAAATTACCCTAATATGAGTCCCGGGACATAGAGACAATTACGAAAAGGAGTCAGTTGAAAGCCAAGCAGAGGTGGAACCATAACGGATCGTACAGGATTAGCCGACAAATCTGGGTGTCCTACGACCCACTTAAAACCACAGCGCTCCTCAGAATGAGCAAAGAACATACCTACAAAATTACTGCAGTGTGCTCAGGGTCATGGCCCGGTGGGGTACATGCCGCAAGAATAGGATTTGCCTTCAACTAGTTCTGTCGCAGTTGCGATGACCTTGGCTCAAAAGAGACAGTCGAACGTTTCCTGCGCGAGCGTCCAGCCCTCGCAAGAATGAGGCTTAAGACACTCGGCAAGCCATTCCTGCAGAATGTTTTAGAGTGCAGCTGCCTCAAATTCGTTTAACGCCGCCAAATGGCGAGTTGTGGAATCAAAATTGCAAACTTGCTAATTGCTTATCACCAGGGTGACAACCAATCAAGCATGCATCGGAACCACTATTGAGCTGTCATAGTTTCTATTTAAACACGATTGCAGCTATCTGCTTGATTGTTAACTAATTTTTTTTTTTTTATAATCCCAATGGTTCAACCCTCCTTTCCCGCCCACCCGCACGAGGGGCGCAGTCCGCATGACGTGCGGAACCATTACTTTCAATTTTTGCGCCAAGTCACGAAAGGCAGGAATATGCTCCTTCATCCTATATTCGCTTTATTTTTATTTTTATTTATTTTTTTTCTCTAGGATATATTTATGTAAGTATAAACCAACCCCACAAACAAACTAGAATAATTTACATAAACAATTAGTTGGATTAATATTTGTAGAAATTTAATCTTAGTACAAATTGTATCCTAGTTCTATGTATCTTAGTATGTTACGTACTACCAAAGAGGGTTAAATTTTTCTTAGCAATTTAGGACAAATAACCCACTTTTCAATCGCTCTCCTAACCTTTTCTCTATAAAATTTCTATTCATATAAAACAAATTCGGCCAGCACTTTAATCTCCGCCTCGTCGACGTTAATTAAACCGCTTGTCTACCAAAAAGCGCGCTCGAGTCTGACATAATTTTCTCGGCCAATTTTAAAGTGCTCTAAATTCAATTCATCTCCGCATGGCGACCGAGCTTTTTTAACAATCTTAAGCTATTGCTATGCCAAAAGTTGTTTTTTTTTTTACTTTTATTGTGTTTTACTTTAGCTGCATCAGTCTTTTGTGGCGGCATATGCAGATTTTTTTTTTATGAAAATTAGTCGACAGGGTCGCACCGACTGCAGTGTGGGGAATTAAAGTTATGATTTTTGTTTTTATACTTTTTCGGTAATAATAGCTATTCTTTAAGATCTCTGCAAATACAAATTTATGACAATAATATGACAATAATTTAGTTATTGCATCGCTTGTTGTGTTGTTCGATAAGTCTTTTACTTCTTATACGTCTTCTTTCGAAATATTATTTTGTTAATCTTAATTTTACGAAGTTGTAAAATTCCCTTACTCGAATAAGAAAATTTATGATTCCTTGTTTTTATGGTTTGTTTTTCTCGGAGCTTCAATGAAAAGTTCGCTTAAAAATAAAATGTTAAAACACATAAAAGAGTCAGAAGCGGCGGACAAATATGTAAGGTGATGGACAATCAAATAGGGACGCGACATTTTAATAAGTTTGGCTATTTTTCTATTGCTTTTATACTATGTTTATCATTAATTACTTATAAATGTATAGCTCACTATCTGACAAAAGCCATGCAAGTAAAAAATTTCAAACTTGCATATGAATTATAAAATTCCGACGAATTTTCAACAAATGTCTATCAAAATTTCGAACATTTTATTCAGAATTAAAAAGATTCTAGGTAGCCTATTTTGCATGTTCCTCCATATAAAACAAAACAAAAAAATTGAGGAACATATTTTGTATAGAAGAAAACGCTTGACACCGTCAACAAAAAAAAATTGCTAAAAATCAGCGGCAAGTCCTAGTTACTTCAAACTAGCACTTTATCATACTAAAATTGGCTACAAAACAGCATACCAAAATACTGATTAAAATGTTTGACATTTTGATAAAACTTCACGCGTCTTGGCACCCACACCACTGTTGACAGTTAAAAGTTTGAAAAAGTAGACGAAGGCCCTTATTTGGGAACCAGCATTAACATCAATAATAATAGATTTTTTCCACACGCTTTCCGGGCTGTTTCGTTACTTAGTACGTAAAAATAAGTTACTCTCTCGCAAGTGTCAAAAAATGTGTCAACACGCGCCAAAAGTTCCCAGAGCGCATAAAATCACATTTCGTGCCCGGAATCTACAAATCAGCTCGGAGCAATGTTTTTATGTGTACTTATCCTATATGGCTAATAAAATTTGCAAATAACTACATTTCTGAAACTTAAGTGCTAATTTCCTTTTTTGTATTTTACAAAATTTGCTTTCGGATGTAAACAAAACTATTTCTGCCCGGAAATAAATAAGTGTAAGTTTGAATGAATTTCATTTCCCAAATTCGTCAAGTTTGTATCTCACTCATTAAATTTTTTGAATCATTTATGTAATTTAACTCAAACCAGAAAGAAATTAAAACTCCATTATAAGAGTAGAAAGGCATAAATTTCAGGCATTTAAAAATTCGTTACCAGGCGGTGGAGCAGTTTTTTAATAGACGCAAGAAAATTTTTTTTTTAAGCAAATTTTGTTACCAGTTACCATTTTATGTTTTTCGCTTTTTCTTTACACTTGTACTTTGCCGCAAATTTTCGCCTATTTTCTTTATTGCTTCTAATTGAATTTTAATGGGTTTACACACGCTGATGGATGGATGGATCGAAAGGATAACATTGAAAGTTACCGAAAATGCAAGCCTGAAAAAGGAACTCCAGCAACAAGCTTTGTGTACATTCATATTTATATGTATGTACATGTGTATGTATTTACGTATGCATATTTTTTCTTTAGGCTATGAACTTATATCCGTTTCAAAGTATTAGATAATACTTAACGAGTAGGGAAACTTTAGCTAAGCTTGATTGAGCTATTGATGTCCTATGTGTATACATACCATATGTACATATGTACATCATATGTAAACCCCAAGTATATGCAAGCATTTTTAAAGATTGTACTCACTTTTCGTAAAACGTTGAAACGTATGCTGAAACTTTGGAACAGTTGAAAAACTTTTTCGTTGCTCGCTTACTTTGTTTCTACTAACTTTTTTCTTTCTCTTGCTCTTGTTGTTGTTTATACCTTTATTTTAAACGTGAATTGGAGCGGCAAGTAATGGTGAAAGATAGAAAGATTTCGTTGTGTCTGTTTTTTTTTTTTGTTTTGTATTTTTTTTTTTTTTGTTTGTTTTTGTTTCTGTATTTATATTTTGAAGAAGGCAGCTGCTGGCGGCGGAATTTGCTAGTTGCTTTACGTACTTTAAATCGAACAGAATGCTAAACTTGCGCTTCACGCTGGCATATTGGTTACGTAGTTTGGTATATGTGTTTTCTATTCGGTATTGGCTTTTAACACTTTAGCTCTTTAGCACTTTTTCGCATTTATTTATTTTAGCGAATTTTATTTATTTTGGTTTTGAATCGATTTATTTTCTTTTTCGCTTCAAATGTTTTCTTTCCTTTGCTAATTTTTCTTTACGTTCACTTTCGACATAACTCATTCACTCTTTAACTCAGGCTTTCTTTTTTGCCTGTTCATTGTTTATTGTGCGGCTTAAAGGGCATATAAAGAAAGTAATTCTTGTCTGTATGTAACATTTGTCAATTGGATTCAGCGCTGTTGGCTAAGAGACAGCGCTGTCATTGGTTCGGGGGAGGGGGAGGGCTTTCGGACTTTGGTTAATGTCGGCGATGTCGACTTATGGTATTTGTTAGCTGCCCAGCTGCTGCTTTACTCGCTTGATATTTGCTCTCTGCTAGCGAAGAAATAAGTCACAGGGAGGCCACAGCTGGATGCGTCAGGGCGTATGAGTGATGAGGAGAGATTTTAAGCGCGCACAAATGGAATGCCTATGCCATATATGCACATATGTATATATGTAATTAAGTATGTAAGCACACACGATTACATTTTCTGTATTTCACTTCACAATGAATTCGAAATTTCATTCATTCATTCATTGTTCATAGTACCATAGTACACATAGCACTTTATCATTTTCAACTTTACTTTTCAACTCAGCATTTTATTTAGCACTTTTCACCTTTTAGTTTTGCATATTTTATCCATTCAAAATTTCCTCCATTTTACTGGCGTTTCATTGAACAAATTCTTTTATTTGAAATATGCAATTTATTGGAATACATGTTTTTGCATGTTTTCTCTAGCTTCTTGCTTTCGTCGTATAGGTTTGGGTGTAAATAAGTATGTACAGATTTGTCATCGGATTGCGTTTCACAAATAAATTGTATTTTTTGCGCTAGCGTCTAGAGATTAATCGGGGTGGCAGCACTAAAAATAAAACGTGAGTGATTAATAATAGCCGAAATAGAAAAGCGGAAAAATATGAAATAAATCGAGCCCTAACCGCCAAAATAACATAGGCGAAATTTTTTCGATGCAGAAATGCATATACATAGGTGCTCTAGGAATATTACTGCATCAAAAAGAAAAATTTGAAAAAAATGTCGCTTACGTTATTTTGGCGGTTAGGGCTCGCAATGTTTTCTGCTGAAGCACCTCAAAACAAAATATACGAGAAATACTTTTTTTATATTTGAATGGCGTTATTCATAAGAAATAAATTATGGGGCAGTTTTCTTCAGTAGGTTTTAATATTTTTCTGCTTTTCAAATACAAATTTTGTTCAGGAAAAATCTTACTTGAGAAATGTGGGGGTCTCTTTATGTTTTATCAATTAGGATGAAAATGTGTATAAGGTGATTTTAAATTAACTACATACGCAACATTTTCCTTTCTAAGAATTTTATTCAAATACCCACTAAGAGAGCCACACGAATAAGTACAGCCCTAATATTTGCATACTCTCTTTGACAAGCGCTTCTTCCATCGTCACTTGAAACTAATGGCGTAAAATAATGATGACTTCCGTTCTACGTGCGCACTTAACACTTGTCTGTCCTTCGCCTGCCTCTTTGCCTACCTGTTCTCCGCTCTCCTGCAAGCTGTATCTTGCATACTTTGTTCCCTCACTCTAGTCTCGGCATATTAATCTTCGTCAGTTTGTCAGTCAGCCAATGAGTTTGTTGCTCAGCATTTCCGTTTCTAGCAATTCACTCAATATCCATGAGCTACCAAATCCAATTGAATGATGTTGTTGTAAACATACACCTCTTTGTTTAAGTGTGTGTATGTATGTATCTATATATGTACATTGAGCTATTTGTAAACACTGTGCTTAATGTCCATTAAATTGTTGCTTTTGTGTATATTTCTGTTACAAATAACTACAACATTTGCAAACGCAGAATGGCTTTTGTTGTTGTTTGTAGTGGTGTCATGTAATTCCTTTTGTTGTTGATATAGATTTTATTTTTGTTGTTGGTATATGGCTTTTGTATGATTTACTCTTCTGGGCTGTTGGCTGCTATAACGGAAGTTGTCGTACAAACCGTGGCCAATTTATCGTAAACAAATACAAACGCAAATATAGATACATACATATGTACACATGTACATATACACTAGTATATACATACCTGTGTAAATATTTAAATATATTAATGTTTGTATGTAGATTTTTGCCATTGGTTGAAATTTAACCTGCCTTTAAGGTCATCCATTAAATTGTAGCCAAAATCAAATAAAATTAAAGTAGAAATCCAAACAGCGGCTCAGATGGGTGCGGTTTTGTTGAGATGGTGGATATTTCATTTGAAAATTGCACAGGAAACACTACATATTTGTGCCAACCGTAACACAATAAGAAAGCTGTGAACGCTGATATTTTTTTGGCCAATTTGTGTATATGTGCGTGGAAAGAATCTACAAATCACATACTAAAATGGACGTTGAAAGGTTCTTCGGTTTTCTTATCTCTGCCTATGCACCAGGGTAGCCAACTCATATTTTGATAATTCCCCGATTTCTACAATGAAATTCCCCGATTTTGCCAGAAAAAATTACGTAAAATTCCCCACCCATAGATATCTCCTAATTTACAAAAAAAAAATTTATGTATTTTGATGTTTCGCTGGTCTTTCTGTTAATTTTGTTTTTAAGTGTAATTCATCTATTTATTCATAAACCGAACCAAGTTTTATAAAGTTTGTTAACAAATAACGAATAAAAATGTGCATATAATATTTACACACAAGCAGTGGTCGAAAAAAATTTAATCGCACCAGATTTTGACAAGTTTTGAAATTTTTTATTTTTTTTTTTTGTTACTTAATTTGAGTTCTTTTTATAAAAAATAGAGTTCATTCTTTAACAAAAAGCGTTCGAATCCAAGTTTCAAACTTTGTACAATATTAAAAAAAAAAATCAAATAAACTTTCGTAAAAATGTTGAGATTTTTAATTTAAATAAAGAAAAATATTTACAAACAACCAGTGGTCGAAAAAATTATTTCGCACCAAATTTTGACAAGTTTTGAAATTTTTTTTTT